GGGTTTCCTAACTACATAATCCCTCAGTATGGATCGTTCGATACATCTATCCTAATCCGATTTAACTGCGCTAGAATTACTGATAGAACGCTTTAGTTCATAACAAAAAAAAAAAAACAAACACTCCATGCAAAACACAGTGAAGTAGGTACATTTACAACAGGCAGTGGCATACTAACCATCCGTGGGGAGACCAATATAAACAGATATTCCAATAGAGTATGAACATACTTTCCTCCGAAAACTGCAACATGGCCTCGGCACTGGAACTAGTGATACAGAGTGAAAGTAGTCGACCGGCGTTAACACAGCGTTCCACGTATCTTGGGCAGATCTCAATCAAGTGCTGAAATTGTAGCTTGGTGACAGAGGACGAAATCTCCCCAGCTCGGATACAGAATGCTCGAATTGGGTCGTTTGCCAACACTGCACAACCTATGGCGAGGGGCGAGAATATGGGGATCCGCATTGCTAACTCAAACAGTTTCTCTTAGCGTCCTACTAATCGTTCGGTGGTAAACAGTTGTGCCGTTAGTTTGCTCACTCGTGTAAAATAAACGAGTACAGCAAATGATGTCGATTAGCACAAAACAATTTCTAGGTAAGTAGTGATGGCAAATCTTATACAGTTTGCATAGAAAGTAGATATTCAAGTAAAGCACTCTATCACACTATGCAGGCTCATCTTGGAGGTGAGTTGGGTATCTATGTTGGTTAAGGGTACCGCCATACAGCCACTAACGACCTCGTCCTGCATCACGAATGCTAGTGTACTTGTTGATCGTGGGAGGTGAGATATAAGGATTAGGGTATAATGAAAAGCTTAGGACAGAGTCAAAACTACAAACATGGCACAGATACCATATGAGCGTTCACTAGGGGGGGGGTACCGTGTTCTCGTGACGATGCACATTGTTTTGGATAGATTATTGTTAGACGTGACCTGGATTGCGTATATATCCGTGAGCATCAGAACAGATCGTCACGCACATAGGTAATATAGAAGTGATCTTGTGAACAGAGGATAGGGGCACTCAAAATCCTATGATCTTGCAATGGCTCAGAGTTCTCAATCCAACGATCGTTTTTGTTCTCCTTCTAACTCTAAAGTCGGTGAGAATTGACCTCTTCGTTGAATTTCTCTTCATCACCTCTACTACCCACTCATCTAAAACATATTGAACAAATTTATCTCACTCACTTGTGTGGAATTATACTTCTCGAATCAATTACTCCTTGCCTCCACTAATCTTTTTCTGTCCATTACCGTGCTTAAACTCCTTCGGTAATTATCATATATCACTGGTCCTTGGATTGTTTGAGATACCCTGACAGATTGAGTCTTTCGATGGCTGAGTATGATCGGCTTACATGTCAAACTACTGAGCTACGATTGTACATTAATTGTACGTAAAGTTCTGTCTGATCTGTGTCTGCAACCAAGTCAATTATTCGGTGGCTAATCCGAGTTGATGTTTCACTCTTTTAACTAACATAATACATACCAGATAAACTTTACTTGTACAAAAAATAAACAATTTTTTGGGATAAAAATTAAATTGTAAATTTACTCTTTCAATTCATGTATTTGAGTTTCTTTATCAAATTTCTCTGTATCAATTGTTCGCAATAGACGATCAACTTCAGTTTGTAGTTTCGATGAATTTTCCATGTAATGATTTAGTTGACTTTCTAATTCTGTTGTTCGTTGTATAAATTTCATATCTGATTCAGTGGTAATTTGTTTTTGTAACTAGAAAAAAATCGAAAAAAATTAAATTGTTACTTTTTAGATAAGAATAAATAAACATTGATATTTTTTTGGAAAAGATACAGTTTATTTCACAAAATATATGTGTACATAAAAGCTTCAGTTATTTGTTTGTGATCTAAGCAAGTTACGAAATGGTTCCACTAACTATTTTTCGGGTCTTCTTTGATCACACCATGCATTTTAAATCTCTTGACATTCCTTTCCAGGTGATGCTCTGTTGCATACTACTTATATGCTACCTTGTGAGTAGTATTTGTTACAATAGTATTACTATGAGATATCTAATAAAGATCACTAAGAAAGAACGTAATTCATTTTGTCAAGATAGATTTGATTACTTCCCTTAAAAGACATGCCGCGTCTTATTTAGAGAGTTACTGTTTCGTCCTAGTCTGGGACTGATCATTAGTGAACATCCGCAACGCCACAAGCAGGAATTAAATAGAAGAATTACTGTTTTGCTCACGAATATTTGACATCTTGATAATTGGGCTAGTATCAGACGGTGTTAATGTGTGACTTCGATCAATCCATAATACTGTACAACGATCATCGATTGTCGTCGTTGAGTAATTACTGCCTCACAGAGAACACGATTAAACTTCACCGATAACTTGTTTTTGCTAGATGTCTGAGAATTTCTTCACAAAACTAGTTTCCAACAAGCACACGATATTTTTCAGTCAGTCAGTCAGTCGCTCAGCTACAATGCAGAACTTCGAAAGTAAGTTTATCATTTCAAGTTGCCATACCATCTTAACACAAAGAGATTGAGTAGTCGATTCAAATTCAATAGTAGCGGTAATCGGAAACATTAGGGATCAAAGATATCATTCGAGAAGTGTATCCCATTGAAATAAATTTTAAAAGTGCACTACAGTCAGGAAGAACTCAGAAGATTAGAATTTGAGAGAAGACAAAGAATGAATACATCTACGCCACTACGAACGATCTGAAACCATGGGTTACGATTGTCATCTGGTCCCCAAACCGGTACTCTGCACCTACAGATATGGCTCACTCACTCACTGTCAATAATCTCATGTATTTGTGTCATGTTTTGGTTTGGCCGCTCCTAGCTAATATAGGATTGTAGAGATTTGTGAGTTTCAAAAAAACCATTTATTTGTACACACGATGTTTCCATTATCCATATTTGTTTATCAGTGTAAGCCCTTCATTATTGAAATTTATACATGAAATTGTTAGGATATTCATTTAATACCCTGAGACATTTATTGGACAATTTCTATTGGTTGACTTCTACTGGTCAATTTTATGATCGTCCTAGCTATCAATGTCACGTACTCCAATGTTGTTTCTTATTGGTCAGCCTGAATTTCAATGTCACTTCAAGTGTTGTTTCCTATTGGTCGTCCTAGCTGTCAATGTCATAGACTTTGATGCTGTTCCCTATTGAACCTAAATGTATAAGTACGCATTATCTGTAACATTTTATGACCCGGACCCTGATCCCTAGTTCGGGATCCTTGTCTTCTTCTGGACTCGGACTTCGTACCTTCAGGATGCTCGTAGAATACAGGTTCTACTTCATATCAAGCCTTCCTCTTTTATTCATTGGTGGTTAGGACACTCGGATTAGAGTAGCATGTCGTGTCACCGGATCCTTGATCCTCGCTCTCGTTTTTCCTGCTGAGATAAACTCGTAGTAGTTAAAGCATATCAAGTTGATGTGTTTACATGCATACGTAACAGAAACGCCCATCTTGAACTTTTCAACTTTAATAAATAAATCAATCAAAACAGCATTCTCGTAAACTTACCAGCTGTTTCTCCATTTGCAATGTAGTCACTTCGGAATTTCTCTGGCTTAATTGTGTTTGTAATTGATTAATCTCGGTTTCTAATTTAAATCGTGATGTACGATAATCACTTGTTTCATCACGTATTTCCAACAGTTGTGTTGTTTTCTCATCTAATTCTTTTTTTAAAATATCTAAACGATTTTTAAATTCATTATTTAAACGTTTTTGTGTTTCTAATTCTTCAACAATTTCTGATTCACTACGTTGACGTGCTTCTTTTAAACTATGTAAATAATAATAACAATAATATTGAACATATAAAAAATTCACAATTGAATGTTGAACAAGTGTTCAATGTACAATCTTAACACTGAGTTGAGTTGTATTTCTGGTGGGATTTTAAATATTCATTGTTTAAGTGTTCGACGCCATGATGAATTAGCTGTTCACAGTTTCACTAGTTGTTTAACTAAATTAAAATTCGTTAATATTAACCATTGAATTTCAATCAGTCTTTGTTGATATACTGTACATTCTGTGTAGACTGCTATGTGAAAACAATTTTTAATATCTAAAACATAGAGGATGATGGTCACCGTCGGGATTCAGGGTGTGCTTTCCATCCTACTTGACTCTTGTCAGTTGGATTCACTTCCTACACCTTGGAGTTTATGTACTGTGTTAATTTCCTAGAGTCAAAATCAACTCTATAATGCAGGTATGTTCATCTGGCGAGTCTCAAACAGGACTAGATGTGAGTCCTGAACTCCACTCCACCAATCATATGAAATTTTACAAAAAATATACACATAAAAATCATGGATCAATCATTGTTAAACCACATTATTAAAAACCTGGGACCAGGGAAAGATGGCTGTGGCAGTGCGCATACAAAACTCCTGCTAGCTGCATGATTCGAAACCCGGGACCTTCGGTCATGCGCGCCAAAGCCTAACCTCTGAACCACTGGGCCAGCATCCAACAATGTTAATGTCTAACTCTGATAAATCTAGTGGTTTTTCGCAACCTTACCTATTTGCCTTCTGTAGTTACTGCCTACAACCGACTAGGCTGAACTCCCCTGGCCACTCATGTCTTCTCACTAGAACTGCAAGAACCCCCTGACGAAGCTAGTCACCAGTGAGCATGTTGTACGAATTTTTTCTCGATTAGAATTATGGAGATCATTGTTTAAAAACATACAGAAATCATGAATCAATCGTTCAGTGCTTCCAGGTTTCTAATGATGTGGTCTAAAAATTATTGATTTATGATTTCTATACGTGTAAAAACAATGATCTTCATAACTCTAACTGAAAAATATTAGTGAATAGTTAGTTTTTGGGAATGCAGATAGTAAAAAGGAGAACAGATACAAGATTACGCTTACTAGAGAAAGGCTAAAGCTATCGCAAGCTACTTTTAAATACAAAATTTAGAGTTATTCATCTAAGTCCTTACAGCTGCTTTCTACCACATAATTGATCATAGTAAAACATTCAAAATCATCAATCAGACATTGTTAGAACACAATTAGAAACTTGGAAGCACTGGACAATGGCCGTTTCGTCCTGGTATGGGACTCATCAGCAGTGCGCATCCACGACTCCTGCTCCTCGCAGGATTCGAACCCGGGACCTTCGGCATTGTAGGCGAACGGCACTGGACGGCCGCTTCCAGGTTTCTAATGGTGGTCTAACAATGATTGATTGATGATTTCAAATGTGTAAAAACGCAAACTTCCAAAACTCTGCCCCAAAACATAGTAAAACAGTTGGGAAACTATACCTAAGTAAATTTTTATTACAATCTATCTCATCATCCAATAAGCAATAACTAATAAATCCATTTTTTAAAATAAACACAATACAAAATTAGATGAAAATAGAAGTTTAATTATTTTTTCCCAACACTTTCTTACCGTTCAATTTGACGATCTTTATCTTTTAATGTTTCTTCCCAACCAATACGTCCACTATCTGTACTGACACATTCTGTATTGATACGTGAAAGACGAGCTTGTGCCGTGGCTAACTGAGCTTCTTTATCATTTAATAAATCTTCTAAATTTTCAATCTGAAAGTTAACAAAAAATTTCTAATTTTAGATGTGTTTTTTTTATTTCAAATTAATTTTTTATCTACTTACAATAATTATCAGTAGGTTGGAATAATTGAATTGAAATTTTCTACAAACTATGAATTTGGCACATTATTAATTAATTAGCATAATTAGTTGAGTGTTCAATTCTGTCAATTCATATCCGAGTAGTTAAAATGGACTATATGTCATTTGATAGTGAGATGTGATCAGGCACTGACAGATAACAGACACACGTTGCGGAAAGAACCCAACTGTATCATGAGACAATCCTTAACTTGAAATCCTCAAAGGCAAAGAGAAAAGAGGAAGACCAAAGAATACATTACGACGATAATGGGTAGCAGACATGAAAACAATGAACGAAAATCGGATAGAACTGAGAAAGAAGGCTCATGACTGATTACGTTGTAGAATAGTGGTTGTTGATCCTTTTCGCCTTTAAGAGTGACGTGCCTAATAAGTAAGATGATGACATATAATCATCTTAATGTTAACTGTCATCCATAGTCTTGAGTTATATTTTTAAAGACCGATTCCCATACTTACTCACTTACTTACACCTGTTACCCCCAATGGAGCATAGACCGCCCACCAGTTTTCTCCAACCAACTCTGTCCTGGGCTTCTCTCTCCAGTTCTGTCCAATGTTTGTTCATTCCTCTCATATCTTTCTCTATTTCTCGGCGTAGTGTGTTCCTTAGCCTTCCTCTTTTCCTTTTGCCTTGAGGGTTCCATGTGAGGTCTCGTCTTGTGACGCAGTTTGGTGCTTTTCATAGTGTGTCCAATCCACTTCCACCACTTCTTCCTGATTCCCTCCTCTGTCGGAATCTAGTCTGTTCTCTCCGATCCCCATACACTTGGTTGATTGTGTATGTGATATTGCTAGTGTTTATGTTATTATCTGGTTTTATACTGTTGGCTGGAAACTGTATATCATGTGTCACGTGACCCAGTCTAATAAGAGTCTATCTTACACTCAGATCTTAATATCACATTATGTAATCGCAAACGATAAAACAACTCGGATTAGATTTTCTATATTAGTTAAGCTTGATGTAAATTTTTCGTTAAATAAAGTGTTTATTTCTAGGAATTATTTAGTTTGTAACTTACGTTTTTTTGATTTAATTTAGCCCGAAATCTATTGGAAGCTAATATGTAGAGGGTTAAGTCTGTATGGAATCTCTTATCAGTGCTGACAGTGATGGAACCCTTTCCTTTCAAACTTCATCATGAAGATTTTGTCTTGAAACCACTAAGTTTATCCTCAATGATTATTATTTCCAACTTTATCCAATCTGAAATATCCTATGGTTACCAGACATTGATACACTTATCTTCCGAATGATATGGCTGACATTCATTTGTTCTGATATATCTTAAGAGAACGTTGAGTAGGTTATTCAAAGTGATACACCGATGAGTCGTTTGTCAGTTTAGAACTACTTTGCTGTTATGCATGAACGTAAACATATCATTTTGATATGCTTGAACTATTACGAGTTTACCTTAGTCGGAAAACGAGAGCGAGGATCGAGGATCCGGCGACACGACATGATACTCAAATTCGATTATCCCAACCCTCATATTGAGTAAAAAATAAGAAGACTCGATATGAAGTAGAACCTGTATTCTACAAGCATCCAGAGAGTACGAGGTCCGAGTTCAGAAGAGAATCAGGATCCCGAACTAGGGATCCGGGTCCTGGTCATTAAATGTTACAGATAATGCGTATTTATACATTTAGGTTGAATATGAAACAGCATCGAAGTCTATGACATTGACAGTTAAGACGACCAATAGGAAGCAACATTTGAAGTGACGACCATAAAATAGACCAGTAGAAATTAGTCAATAGGAACTGACCAATATTAGATGAACATTTTAACATTTACATATCAGAAATACTTTTTGTGATAAGACGTTGAGAAACAGTGTTAAGAATTCTCAGATGTATGCACTCATTATACTGTAAGGAGTCGAATTGAAAACGTTCAATAATCACAATGAATGAGTGACCTTGAGAAAAAAATGTATAGCTAGTTAAATGGTCAATATTTCAATTTTCTCACTTTCACCTATGCATCAGTTAACTAGTTAGTTGAATTAAAATTAACTTTTAATGATAAATTTGACCTAATCATATGATTATTTCCATAGTTCATTCCTGACAAAACCAAACAGTTTCAAATTTTTTTTTAAGACATTTTATCACCATTTCAATTAGCTACTACTCAAATTGATAGTAAGCTTGTAAAACGATGCAGGAAAATAAAATGGATAACCGTTCAATTATTTTTCTGTCATGAATGACTTAAAAAAATAATTCATCAGTAATTTTCAGTTGTTTTTTAATGAATTTTAGAATTAATTAATTTAAGACTATCATTAATTCTAGTGTGGTGCGAACTACTTATAAGTAGTATATGACGTGAGTGTCAACGTAATGTCTTGCAGCAGAAGATGGGGGAAGATCAAGAAAGGAAGAGTTAGAACACAATGGAATTTGTATGAAACGCATGAATAGTGACAAAGGATTGATGTTTTGCAACAGGAACAGTCCAATTCGATATGATGAACTGATATTTTGCAAATGAACGATTTACCATATGGTTTTCCTATTTTACTGAGTAACTCTGTAATGTTCGTTAAATACAATCCGGTTGCCACACCTGTGTTCTCCTTCACTACACTAGTATGGGACTCATCAGTACTGTGCATCCACGATTACCGGCCGAGGGAACCAAACACAGGACTTTCTGTCTTGCGCGCGAACAGTTGTCCTTTGGACCATTGGACCGCTATCCGACGGTGCCAGTGTTTAGCTTCAATTAGACCAAGTTATTGCTCAAAGCTGTCGAGTGTAGGCAGTAACTACCGAAGATAAGGGGTGAGGCTGTTCAGAACCGCGAACTAACTAAAGTTAGACAATAACACCAGTGGATATCGATACAGTGGTCTAGAGATTAGGCTTTCGTATGCTAGACCGAAGGTCATGGGTTCAATTCCTGTGTGTAGCGGAAGTTGTGGATACGAATTGCCGATGAGTTCTATACTAGGATGATATCGTTCTAAAGATGATTGATTTTCACTTAAATCATAAATCGATAGATGTTAGGCCAATATAAGAAACCTAGAAGCACTCGATGGCTGTTTCGTCGGAGTTTAGGAATCATCAGATGTACGCATCCACAACTTCAACACGCGGAATTCGAAACTAGGACCTTGCATCTTGTTTGCATCTTCATAACCTCTCTACCATTGAACAAACACTCAACGGTTTTAACGCCTAACTTCTTGTCATCGTGTTGAATTAGTAACACTGATTGGTTTAAATATTGGATGAAACAATCCAAAGGAATTAATTAATAACATATTTTTAACCTTAAGTATGGAGTAAGTATGTGTTATATTATGAAGAAGATTAAAGGGGGATGATAATTTCAACGGCAGATTTATGGGTTATTATTGTGTGTAGTGTTAGTGTATAATTATTCGGTAACTAGATTTATATTCCAAATAACTCAATAATTAATCTTGTATGATTTACTGTTCATAATCTTTTGTAAGCTTATCATTCAAATCTGATAAGCTGGTCAGTTGATATGCTTCAATGCTATTACGAGTTCGCTTTACTCCGTAAACGAGAGCGAAGATTAATGATGCTGAGACATGATCGGCATTTCTAATCCGACTTTTCCCATGCCTCACTAACTAGACCAAGAAGTCTTGATAAGGCTTAGAGAACGTATTCTACAAGCATCCAGAAAATATGAGGTTCACAAATCGAGTTTATTTATACATGATAGAAATGTGTTTGAGAGAGCCGAAAAATTAGCATACTAAAATAATACATCAACCAATAACAGTCAAGGATTTCCGGGTGGGAAATGTAATCTCAAGGTCAACTGATCAGCTCATGCGCTAAAACACAAAAATGCCCAAAATGAGGACCTTTATCAAGTGAATCTAACGTCTCCAACAACATCCTTTCCTATTCACGGCCATTTTTGACTTGCTCATACATAAATCTATTCCCTCATTTGATAGTGAATTTTTGTGTAGATATATTTCGTATATAAACTAGGTCTGCTTGAAATATAATGAATTTTATTGAGACTCACAACGTACTTCTGGACTAAGAGGCAGGAAGTTTGAAAGGAAGAATCTATCGAATTGTGGACAAATATACAGATTTACAACTGACTAAAGAGTACTGGTGTTAAATTGTAATTCTGATTGGTGCTTTGTATTGATCACCTGATATTGATCAACAATTAGGTTTACAACCAATATCCCGACCGAAGCTGCTACCTTGACGTGGTGGTCGGGATTGCATATCGTCATGACCCACACGAACTATACTGGCTGGAACATATGTTCCTGTAGGTTCTACCATGTAATGCAGGTTGATTGGAGAACGATGAGACTAAAAGCAGCTACTCAAGATCTGGGGGCGAAGTTGTACTGCTGACTGTAGAGGGGTGTGACAGCAGTAAGGTGTTTCCCTCGGACAATCAGCATCTGCAGCGATGCTGCCTTCTCACAAGGAAGGAAGTGTTAAGAAAAGGTCGACCCTAAAAATGTCACACCTCACCCTACCTCACGGATTTCCGTCCCCGATGGTAAGGGCTGCCCAATAAGGGCTTTAAAAAGAGCGGAGCTAATACTCAAAAAACCTTTCATGAAAAGGCCGTACGTGACCAGCCTGGGCTATGCGGTTATGCTCCCAGGTCTCAAAGACCAACTCTAATCCACCTTCCTTTTCAGGTTCCTCAGGAAACACCCTTCCACGGTGTGGGCAGCCAGGAAGTGACAACCTCCCTCAAACCAGTAACAGCATGGGAGACAAAATTGGTCGAAACCGAATCCTTACTACACCCCCTAATATCTCTCTTATCTCCACAACTGACTTACAACCAATATGACAGTCATTCAGTGTTTTCAAGGTCAAAGCTTTGAAAATTCTATTATCACCAAAATATTCGAAAAATTAACTCATTCAATTTAAACTACATTATTCAATCAATTCAGCCATTATACATTTAAAAAAACACACAAGAATCAATCAATCGATCAATGTTCAATGCATCCTCCCTTCCTACTTACTTTTTTTTGTAATAATGTTATTTTCCTGTCTTTTATATCGATTTGATCTTTGAGTTCAGTTAATTCTTGTTCAATTTGTCGTTTAGCTGATTGTACCGTGTTTAATGCCTTGGATTTTTTTTCTAAAAGATTCTCTTTCTCTTTGATTCTTTTACGAAAATCTTCAGCCTATTTGAAAGTAGGATAGGAAAAAAAGTAGGGTAGAAATTGTATGTGTTAAACAAAAAACAATACATTCAGTTGCAAAAACGTAACTGAAACAGTGTTCACCAGTAATGTATCCCACTTACTTTTCTCTTATTTACTTACTTACTTACTTACTTGCTTACTTACTTACTTACTTACGCCATTGGAGTAAAGGTCACCGACATACATTCTTTAACCTACTTTTCTCATTAGTTATCATTTCAATTCGTAAGAAAGTTAGTATGTAAACGAGTAAGTATGTAAGTAAATCAGTGAGTACTTAAGCAGAGAACTGAGTAGATGAGTTTATGACTGAGTAAGCAAGTAAGTAAGGTAGGAAGGTAGGAATGGATGAATAACCGAAGGAAAGTAAGGAGGAAGAATGAGATTAGGTAAATTCTTAAGTAACTAAGTAAGCTGGTATACTTCCAGTGACTGAATTGTTCCTTAATCGTGAACGCTAATTCTATATATTCCGTGTTAACAATGCTGACAATCTACGCATAAATCAGCTTCTGTATGAAGTGTATACATACTCAGAGTTGGTTAGACATTGCTAATAGGTAGTGTATACTCCATGAGGGGTAACAGGTGTAAGTAAGTAAGTAAGTAAGTTTGAGAATAGAAGTGATCGTTCGACATTCAACAAACCAAATTGAACAAATTACGGGTAAATTTACATACTACTATAAAACAATTAAGTAGTCAAAAATAAATCATATCATTTCTATCATTTGGACGATTATTTCGATGCACTAAACCATTCTTTGAATATATTAATTTATTCAATTTCAATAGTTTAAATTATCTAATTTTAAAATAAGATCTTCAAATTAAAAATCAATAATACGAAATTTTTATTCAATCAAACTGATTTAAATATTGACAAACTGATTTGGAAAATAAATAAATAATCATTACGTTTGTTTACGAAAAAAAAATTTCTCAAAAAAATATGATTGATGATATTCATTTTTAAGGATGAATGTGATTTTGTTTTAAAACTAAGAATTATTTAAATAAGATATGGAACTTAGTTTATTTTGAAAAATTAAAATATTTTGTATTGTCCAGTAAAATTGTTAGGAGGAACATTTAAAAAAAGGGCGTATGATGTCATTAATTAGCGTGGTAGATTTATGCTAATAGAAACAGTGTAATGGATAGTTGGAAATATGTTTGTACTGTCACTTTTTGCTTGAACTCAATTTACATAACCTTGATGTCAGTTTGTTAGGATATTCATACAATATCCTAAGAGAATTATTGGTCGATTCCTGTTGGTTACTTCCTACTGGTCAATTTTATGGTCGTCCTAGATATCAATATCACATACTTCAAATGTTGTTTCTTATTGATTGTCCTGACAATCAATGTCACTCCAAATGTTGTTTCCTATTGGTTGTCTTAACTGTCAATGTCACAGAATTCGATGCTGTTTCCTGTTCGACTCAAATGTATAAATACGCATTATCCGTTACGTTTTATGACCTGAACCCGGACCCAGATCCTTAGTCAGGGATCCTGATCCCCTTCTGGACTCGGACCTCAGACTTTCTGGATGTTTTTAGAATACATATTCTACTTCATATCAAGTCTTCTTCTTTTACTCAATGGGTTTTGGGAAACTTGGATCAGAGTAGCTTGTCGTGTCGCCGGATCGTCGATCCTCGCTCTCGTTTTTCGACTAAGATAAACTTGCAAAGCTTATAAAAACGACATGTTTACGTGCATACTTAACATTATGATTGATGGATGGTCTTGTTGACATTCACTTAACTAATTAAAATCTAAATATGATGCAATAATTAAGGGTACAAACGAAATCAATAACATTTATATCAACTGTGATTTAAAAACCTAGTATTCTCTTTCACTCACTCATGAGAAGAGATTTCTTCACATCTTTCTCTTTTGTACTACTCCTCAACGTTGTCGTTTGATCGATCATATGTGTTCTTACTAATTTAGTTCTTTCGATGAAGAATATTTTACTAGTAACATGCATCACTAATCATACGTTTGCTATTGTAAGATTAGTGATTTGTATGCCTGAATGCTATTACGAGTTCACATTACTCAGTAAACGGAGCGAAGATCAATGATTCAGGGACATGATAGGCTATCCTAATCCGATTGTTCTATGCCCCGCTAAATATAGCAAGAAGTCTTCACAATGCGTAGAGAATGTATTCCACAGGCACATAGTAAAAACAAGGTTGCTAAGCCTACAACTCAAGCATATTTATACAATGATAGAAACACCCTTGAGAGCGCCACAAAATAGCGTAATGAAATAATTTATCAACCATTTATGGTCAAGGATTTTCCTAGTGGGATACGTAAGCTGAAGGTCAACTAAGCGTCTTTGGCGCGGAAACATAGAAATTCAAAATTTCAGAAATAAATCACAAAATTAGGAGCTTTTCATGTGGATTCTGGGTATCTAAAGTCCTCAATAGCGTACGTTCCTGTGGTTTGCTTGCATCTTGACTGTTGTTCGCCGCTATCGTAGAGGTCACCTAGTGGATCGTAGATCAGCTTGGTGTTCAATTTTTTCTCGTGTTGAGGCTGCCGATATGTTGAAAGTATCTGACAGGATGTCAAGGGGATGAGTAACTTCTCTTGATGGGTGATCTGGGGCTAGTAACTTCCGTATCTGATGCCGATGGCGTGTCCATTTGTCGCTTCCAACCTCTACTTCATACATGACATGGCTAACTCTTCTGACTACTCGCGCTTCTGTTCATGGACCAAGGTTTGGTCTGATGTCATGGGCACTGACAAGATATCCCACTTCATACGTGAATTGTTTTTCAGACTTCGTCTGTATTGGTGTTGGTGCATTACTCGGATGCATCAGACTGTGAATCGTTTTCAGTCCTCTTATTATCAGGATTTCTGCTGGGGACTCTTGCTGCACTAACGTCTCTTTTGTAACGCTTCTGTTGGTGTCCTCTCCCCTGTTGACTTAACCAATGGTCATTAGCACAGATGATTTACGCCTAAGTACGCTGTAATTTCAATAAACTAAATGACGTGTGGAACGACTATGACAAAGATACTGACGCCTATGCACTTAATGACGTGTGTCAATATGCAGTTGAAATCCACACCCTCAGTTCTTTGCTTTTCACTATCCACTATGTAGTGAAACATATTATACATCCAAAATGTTAAAATGACGATTTCACTGTTAACTAACTAACTGTGTTTTTTATCAAGCTTTTGAGTGATCAATATAGAAATCAAAGTTTCAAATATCTTTTTTAATCGCAATCAAAATAAATGTTTTTGATTGTAATCTCTATAAACGTGAAAATATATTTTGCATCTTTCCTAGTCAATTTGTATTGTGTTCTACCTTGAAGTAGAGTGAAGCATTCCGACTGTTATTTAGTGGATGTGTAGTGACTCCACATTTATTTGCATTCACTTACATTTAATTCGGTCAGGCCTTTCGATTAATTTATTTAACCAAGCCATTTGTAAAACTAATAACTTATATGTACCATTGGCTTTGATTATTGTGTGGTTTGTATGAGCTGGTGGTATGACTGAACATTGTTTACCGCTTACGCGCATATTCATCCTATTCGCTTTAATATTAATCTCTTAAATATCACGATGACAGACATTTTCCTTTGTGTATATACGAACATTTTAATCTTATTAATTCATTCGCACATCCACTCGCTAGTTGCCTGCTCAGTCTGCTTGTGGTCTGCTATCCCACATTTTGTGGTGTGCCAAAATAAACGTATTCAACAGTTCGAATTCACCTTCTGATTTAT